TAGAATCTCAGATAGTAAACTTTATAGTTAGTAAATGATGCAGACAAAAAAGTTATAGAGATGATAAAATATGAATCAACTAGAACTTTAAGAGAAAGCAAAAACTTTTTTCCAACTAAACAAAACTTGGAAGAAACTAAGATGCCCTTCAGCAGGTGAATGTATAAATAGAAAGTATGGTATTTCCACACAATGGAATACTATTCAGTGCTAACAAGAAATGTACTACCAAGCCAGGAAAAGATGTGGAGGAAATGTAAACACTTATTTCTAAATTTCTAAATCGAAGTGAATCAGACAAGCATATATACTGTATAATTCCAACTATATGACATTCTAGAAAATCCAGTGCAGCCAAATAAAATAAAGTAAATAAAACTACATATTTAAAAAGAAAGAAGAACCAGCATCACCATCAACAGGAAAGGGGTCATCACATGAAATACCTGTGAAAGTTATATATATAAATCTCCAACACCTGAAATGCAGGTTTTGGTTATCACAAAGCATGCATTTCTTACCATGGTTCATGCTTTTTTTTTTTTTAAAGGCCCTCAAAAACTGAGTTTAACTTCTTGAATTACTTTGCTGTACTGCAGAAATTAGCACAACATTATAAATCAACTATTCTTTGATTTATATTAAGGAAAAAAAGGAAAGAAACTAAAATAGAAAGGAATTCAGAAAAGTGACTAAATTTTAAAAACTAAAAGGAAGAAAAAAAGAAAGTAATCAGATAGGCAATCATCAAAAGACAAAAAATGCTCTGCAACCTCCTTCCTTATCTCTGGTTTTAACATGACCTGGTTTTTAACATCCCCTTCACACTGAGAGAAACAGAGGTCTCCCGTCTCATCCATCAAACCTACACAGAGTCAACAAATATTTACAGATGCCTGCAACATTTGGAGAAGGCAATGGCACCCCACTCGGTACTCTTGCCTGGAAGATCCCATGGACGGAGGAGCCTGGTAGGCTGCACTCTATGGGGTCGCTAAGAGTCAGACATGACTGAGTGGCTTCACTTTCACTTTTCACTTTCATTCATTGGAGAGGGAAATGGCAATGCACTGCAGTGTTCTTGCCTGGAGAATCCCGGAGATGGGGGAGCCTCATGGGCTGCTGTCTATGGGGTCACACAGAGTCGGACACGACTGAAGTGACTTAGCAGCAGCAGCAGCCACATATTGGACTGCTCCCGGTACACAACAGGACAGACAAAACTCCACACCCCTGGTGATCACACTCCAGTGCTGAGAGAGGGTGATAAACAAGCAAAGTCTGTGAGATCCAGTAAGATGCAGAATGAGGAGAGAAAGGGGAGGATGGAATTTTACACAGGGTGGTCAGAGAAGGCCTCTCTCATGATGTTGGAACTGAGCGGAGACCTGAAGGCAGAAAGGGAGGGAGCTGGAAGACTAGTGGTAGAAGAGTAGGTCCGGCAGAGTTAAGGGCTCAGAGGGGAAGAATCTGCTGTGATCACAGTAACTGGCCCCCAAAGAACTCACATCTTGATTTTTGGAGCCTAGACTATGTGGCAAAGGGGAATTAAGATTGCAGAAAGGATTTAGGCTGCAGATTAGCTGACCTTAACATGTAAGTGCACCCTCTCCTTTGGGGTGGAGTGGGAGGCTCAATGCAATCTAAAGTCTCCTATGAAGCAGAAGCGTGATGCAGGAAAAAAGCGGAAGAGGGACACGTGACAAGGGAGGACGGGGCAGAGACAAGCGATGTCGCTAGCTGTGAAGCTTGAGGAAGGTGGCCATGAGCCACTGGAAAGGCAAAGACACAGATTCTCCCCCAGAATCTCCAGAGTGAAACCACGCCACACCTCTGACCTCTGGAAGTGTAAGACGTTCAACGTGTGTCGTGTAAAGCTATGGTATTTGCAGTGATTTGCTCAGGCAGCCGCGGGTGATACAGCATCCCTGTCGAGGCTGAGCCATGTGTGGTGTACAGCATGGGTGGGAGACAAGGAGCGAGAGGAAAGGAATCAGAGGGACAGTGGGGGATCATGAGCAGATCCTGGAGGACTCCAGAAGCCACTTTAAGAAAAATAGGAAGATATAAAAGGTTTGGAAGAGAGGAATGGCATCACTTTCCAAAGTGATTTCCTAATGGCAGTCTTTCCTAAGCCTCACTCTTGGCTGCTACCTGGAGAACAGACTATAGGAGGGGCAGGGCAACCAGTACAAAGGTGTGTCAAAGAAGAGGTCTGGCAGTTTGGATGAGATGACAGCCAAAGGGTTGGAGAGAAGTAAAAACACATGGGAGGGCTTCTCTAAGGACCCCCATCTGCCTGGTTCTTACCTGACTTCCCTTCTCTTTGAGTTGCTGTCTTCACCACCCAAAGCCCTTTCTCCTTTTCTAAGTGAAATATGTCATGTCTGAAGGGGTGACACCCTGTGAACATGCAGAGTAACATATTTAAAATGAACATACTCTGTGACTGATTGATGTTGACGTTTGGTAGAAACCAACACAATACTGTAAAGCAATTATCCTTCAATTAAAAATAAATTTAATGTCAGAAAAAAATAAAAGAAAATGAATACACTTAACAGTACAATTTACTGGAAATTAAGATTCCTGTATTTAATATTGATCAATGAGTCAAAATGAGCATAATTAAAATATTTTTAAGAAAACAGTTGAAAAAATATTGGAACTTCTCTGATGGTCTAGCAGTTAAGACTCTGAGTTTCTATGCAGGAGGCACAAGTTTGATCT